CTTTACCATAATAAAATTAAATAATTAATTTTGCATAAGTATACAGGATTTAATTATTAAATATTCATATAACAATACTTAATTTGACAAATATTGTTGTTTTCTCATGTTATTTTTTACGTTTGTTAACTAGAATTTGAGAGAGTATGGGTTTGAACTATCAGCTTTTTGACGTATTTTTGGGGTTAAGAGATACTTAAATATAACTATAAGATACTATGCTAAAGGGCACTACATTTTATTATGCTAAAAGGGCACTACATTACAAATACGAGCACTACATTAGGCCACAAGATACCACTACAGGGAACTAAAGTAACAATTTATCTATTTTACTAGTCTTTTAGTAAATAAATAATCTAAATCGGATAAAAACAATAAATAAATTTACTAATTAATAATCACAAAACAATTAGTAACTAATTAAACAATTAGTAACTAAATAAATAATCACAAAACAATCACGAAAATACATATATCACAATAAAAAGTAACTAATTAATATTTTTTTAACAACTAATAACAATCTCTATTTTACTAATTATTTTAGCACACTAATACTATAGTCCGAATAAAAAATAATAAATTAATTAAATCGCAAAACAATCACAAAATAATATAAAGCACATTAAAAACAACTAATATGCATTTTTATACGAGTTTTAACATAAACTAAGTCGTAATACATCGATTTAAGAATTTTGAAAAGTTGAAGATTTGGTAATTTGGAGCCGAAACGAGCAACACACTACGAGATAACGCCTTAGCAAGGATGTGGGACCTAGAACCTATACTTTTTGTGGGACCGGTAGGCTCCACTCAAACTGTTTTCGTCAACAATTGGGGGGGGTTGTTTCTTTTGTTTAATAAGGGGAGGGGGAGCTTCTGGCTTTATGGAGAAGGGGACTGGACGGCTTTTTATGTGGGTATAGCGCCTTATATTAAGACGTTATAGTTATAAGACGTTATACTATAACATCTTAAGACGTTATACCTTCTTCCCGCTCTTTTAAGGTTCAAATATAACGTTTTTCAAAAGGGCATTATACTTAATTGGACAAACAGCCGGTGAAGTATAGTGCCCTTAAAAAGGGCGTTGTATATGAAATGGACACCAATTATTTTTTCTACACATTTTGGTTCCGAACTCCGAAAAAAGAAAATGTGAAGTAAACAAAACTAGCAACGAGTCATGTTGCTAACATGGGTAAAAGTGAAACATTCAATAATGATGGGAAAGCAGATATGTCATCCTTGATCACTATTACATGAATCCAGATGTTGCACTTCAGACCTTTTGACCTTGAGTGAATCTGAAGTGTAATTTTTCACTTCAGACTTATTGGCCTTAAGTGAATGAAATCATTGGTTACACTTCAGACCTATTTGGCCTTAAGTGCATCTGAAATGCAAATTTTCACTTCAGACTTATTGGCCTTAAGTGAATGAAAATGAATGTTGCACTTCAAACTGTTTGGCCTTAAGTGCATTAAACAATTGGTTACACTTCAAGCTTATTTGGCCTTAAGTGCATCTGAAGTGCAAATTTTCACTTTAGACTTATTGGTCTTACGTGCATAAAACTATTGGTTACACTTCAAACCTATTTGGCCTTAAGTGCATTTTTTCACTTCAGACTAATTTTTTTTTAAATTCAGGCCCGATAAATCTAAAGTTGATAGTAAAATCCCCAAAATCGGGTATAGATACAAAAGTCTAGATTATGTTCCCTGCTTTTGGTTGTAAGTTAGCAGTAAATGTTTTAGAATTCGAAAACCAAAGAGTTCATGTTCACGTGGCACTGTCTAAAAACTTGTTTTATAAGGCTTTGCTTGTGTATGGAGACTAAGGTTTAAGTTGAGAAAAATAAATGGTCTTCAGAAATTTTATTAGAAGCTCCCACGAGACCTCGCGATGATAGCTTGCTCGTCAGATGAAACTTGCTTACGAAAACAATTTATTGAATTATTGGTTTCAATTAAGAGCATTCTTGATTATCCCTCCGGTCCATAATAAGTGATCAATTTATTTTAGACATACCCATTAAGAAAATTACTAAATTCTAGATAATGTGGCTAAATTAAATGTTGCATAGGATAATTTTAAAAAAAAACAAATTAATTTTTTTTTCAAATTAGTCACTTATTATGGACCAGATGGAATAATAGAGTAAAAATCAAGTCTTTCAATAAAATTCTATTCTTTTTTGTTTTCCCCCAAGAAAATGTTGGGAACTGAAAGAAAACAGAGATTTGAGATAAATAATAGAGTAAAAATCAAGTCTTTGTAATTTATCCTCATTACCTAATGAGGAAATAAATTCTTGATTTTAACAATTACAAGATTTAAAATTTACATCAATAGTATGAGTAGCATGTTAATTGTATTACTTTGTTAAGGTAATCGATGTTGTCGTTCTTGGACTTCCGGAAGCCTATGTTTTAATAAAGCATTTTTTTCTTTAATGCACAGCCGCCTAGAATGTCTGCCATTAATATATTGCCCTCATACATTCTATTTTCCAAAAATCTTCTTTTTCATGATTATGATTCATCCCATAAATCTTGACAGCTTTGCCAAAGATTTCACATTGGTTATTGGGTACAAGCATCCCAAATTCACAATTTGGTTCACATACTTTTCTCCCAAATCTAACATGCCCCATATTTTACCCCTTGTGGTGGGTCATGATTACCCACCAATATATTTTGTCCCTCATCTTCATCGACATTGGTGTTTCGTAAAAAAAGAGTCTTCGTTGCCATCTAACTCATCAAGGTTGATCATGATGTCCGCAAGTACAGAAGCGTCGAATTCCTCATTTTGTTCTTGATTTTGAATCAAATTGTTTGGTCTCTCATGCTCCTCAAGATGTGCTACCATTCCTTCAAATACAACATCAGCATTGGAGGGGGAGGGGGCATCGATATAAATTTGATCATTTGCATTACCGTTAATTGCACCAAAGATTTCATCCAGTTTTTCTTCTGTGAGAGGTGAGTTGGAGGATACATTTTTCACACTGTAAGATAATGGCTTCACACAAGAAATCAATTGGGATGTGTTCAATTGGATAATGGCTTCACAGAAGAAATCAATTGGGATGTGTTCAATTGGATAATGGCTTCAAGAAATCAACTGGAAGTTTCAATTGGATAATGGCTTCACAGAAGAAATCAATTGGGATGTGTTCAATTGGATAATGGCTTCAAGAAATCAACTGGAAGTTTCAATTGGATAATGGCTAGTTAAGTCAATTTAACTACTACCGACTATATATCGGGAATTAGTTTCAGGCTGTTACATTCTTGAAAGAACGTTGCCGCAAAACAGTTAAGGTTTAATCATTTTCTTGGTTATTCAAATTTCCCTTAAATTAAAAAATAATTCTTTTTAATCAGCTAAGAAAATAGTTGCCACTAATATTTCTTTACTTGTCTTTTATCAACATTGGAAAGGTGCTCCACCTAATTATCTTAGAATGGACTCAGTGATTTTTTCGTTAAAATGAGATGGTTAGTGAGGACTGCGGAGCAAGCTAGAATGGTGAGGTTTTGTGGTTTGCTCTTAACATTTACTCTCTCCGGTCCACAATAAGTGACCAATTTATTTTTTTATTTTGGTCTAAAATAAGTGTCCATTTATATAATCAAAAAAAAATCAATTTGTTTTTTCAAATTTATCCTTGCGTACAAATCCCTAAAAAATCTTTTACTCCTAACATTAACTATGGTGAACATTTAATAAAGGGTAATTATATAAGGGTAATTTTGAAAAAAGAAACTAAATTTTTTCTTGATTATATAAATGGAAAGTTATTTTAGACTAAAATAAAAAAGCAAATTGATCACTTATTGTGGATCGAAGGGAGTAAATGTTAAGAGCAAACCACAAAACCTCACCATTCTAGCTTGCTCGGCAATCCTCAGTAACCATCTCATTTTAACGAAAAAATCACTGCGGCCATTCTAATTCTAAGATAACTAGGTGGAGTACCTTTCCAATGTTGATAAAAGACAAATAAAGAAATTTTGATGGTAACTATTTTCTTAGCTAATTAAAAAAACTATTTTTCAATTTAAGGGAAAAAAGAAATTTGGAAGTTTCTAAAATTTGAATAACCAAGAAAATGATTAAACCTTAACTGTTTCGCGACAACGTTCTTTCAAGAATGTAACAGCCTTAAACTAAATTTTCAATATATAATCGATAGTAGCTAAATTAACTTAACTAGCCATTATCCAATTGAAACTTCCAATTGAAGCCATTATCCAATTGAACACATCTCGATTAATTTCTTATGTGAAGCCATTATCCAATTGAACACATCTCGATTGATTTCTTGTGTGAAGCCATTATCCAACAGTATTAAAAATGTATCCTCCAACTTCATCTCTCACAGAAGAACGATGAAATCTTTGGTACAATTAACGGTAATGCAAATGATCAAATTTATATTGATGCCCCCTCCCCCTCCAATGCTGATGCTGTATTTGAAGGAATGGTAGCACATCTTGAGGAGCATGAGAGACCAAACAATTTGATTCAAAATCAAGAACAAAATGAGGAATTCGACGCTACAGTACTTGCGGACATCATGATCAACCTTGATGAGTTAGATGGCAACGAAGACCTTTTTTTTATAAAACACCAATGTCGATGAAGATGAGGGACAAAATATATTAGTGGGTAATCATGACCCACCAAAAGGGGTAAAATGTGGAGCATGTAGATTTAGGAGAAAAGCATGTGAACCAAATTGTGAATTTAGAATGCTTGTACCCAATAACCAATTTGAAATCTTTAGCAAAGCTATCAAGATTTATGGGAGAGAAAATATGAGAGAATGGATGAACGAGTATCATGATAATCAAGAAAAAAAAAAGATTTTTTGAAAAATAGAATGTATGATGGCAATATATTAATGGTGGACACTCTGGGCGACTGTGCAAGCATTATTAAAGGAAAAAATGCTTCCATAAAACATAAGCTTACGGAAGTCCAAGAACAACAGCATCGATTACCTCAACAAAGTATTACAATTAACATACTACTCATACTATTGAGGTAAATTTTAAATCTTGTAATTGTTAAAATCAGGAATTTATTTCTGCATTAGGTAATGAAGACAAATTACAAAGCCTTGATTTTTACTCTATTACTTATCTCAAATCTATGTTTTCTTTCGGTTCCCAACATTTTCTTGGAAAAAAACAAAAAAGAATAGAACTTTATTAAAAGACTTGATTTTTACTCTATTACTCTTGTCGATCCACAATAAGTGACCAATTTGCTTTTTTATTTTGGGCTAAAATAAGTGTTCATTTATATAATCAAAAAAAAATCAATTTGTTATTCCAAAATTACCCTTACGTATATATCCCTAAAAAGTCTTTTACTCCTCACATTAACTATGTTGCAACATTTAACTAAGGATAGTTTAGTCACACTAACTATTTTTGTTTAGAATTTAATATTTTCTTAATGGGTGTGCCCAAACTAAATTGGTCACTTATTGTGGATCGGAGAGATAACTTATCTCAAATCTATGTTTTCTTTCGGTTCCGCAGATTTTCTTGGGGAAAAACCAAAAAAGAATAGAACTTTATTGTACAATAGAACTTCTTGCATGTGTGTTTAGTGTTGACCATGGCTAGATGGCTATATCTAAGCTTTTGTTTCACTGAACCGTAATCCAGCACTAACTTATGCAGGAATAATCCATCACATGAGATCCACCAAATTGCCAACCAAATCCAACAACTAGCAAATCAAATAACTACTAAAGCACAGCAGATAGGGGCAGATCACATGGTATAACAGATTATAGCTGCTGCACAACAGATTGTAGATGCAGCACAACATATTGGAGACGCCTTTAATTTACCAAATCCATTTGGAGCACAAATATGTGGGGCATGCAGGTCCGGGAAGATTTCAGTGTGTGAAGCCGATTGTCAATTCCGACACCTTATCCCGAATGAACAATACGAAACATTTGGAAGAGTTACTCGTACACATGGGGGAAGAAAAACAGTGATTACGTGGCTTAAAATGTACGAAGGGATTGAAGAAAAAAGGCAGCTTCTGAATAATCGTGCCTACGAGGCAAACGTTCTAAGAGAAGATCGCATGGGAGGCTGTGCGAGGCTGATAAGGGAAAGGGATAACATAATAGAGCAAACAGCTGTGATTTTCCAACAGTGGGCTCACCTAACAGGGCAGCAAAGTACACTTACTGATATAATACATGATTTACTAAGGTAAGCATATGCCTTAATCATAATAAACAACCCCATAAGCACAATATATATGACTTACACTTTGATGTCTGTCTTTTGCAGCGATAGCTCAGCAATTGAACCAATAACAAACCAACTCCAAGATATGGCAAATCAACTAGCAGCTGAAGAACCACAGGTAGGAGCACAGCAGATTGCAGAGGAAGGACAACAAAATGGTGACCCTTGAATGAGACTACAAAATAGATGAGCAACATTAGATATCATGTGTATAGAGATCGATAGATATTCAAAGTGGACAAATTAAATTGATAGGAATTTGACTTTTCCAATACATTGCAATAAAAATTGCATCTTTGGGATGGCATAACTCAGCACAAACCGTGTTAAAAAATCAGAATGGATCTGTAAATAACAAAAGGAATTGTAAACCAACAAAAGCAAAAAGATGAGGAACGAGTGGATCTGTAAACAAAATCAGATCGAAAAGTGGGATAAGATCTGTAGAATTAGAAGGAAAAAATGGTAAAATAAAAAGGGAAAGAAGAAGATGAAGAGAGTAGATCTAGATTATCAAACGAATAGAGGAAGAAGCCGGGGCAAAAGGAAAGACTATTATTTAATGGAGTACCGATATTTCCTATGGGATGGCCCATCGAATAGTCAATACTACTAGTATTATTTTTTGGGGGGAAAAGTAAATGCTAATGTGTTGCATACGGGGATGTGGGTTCCGACGTACTTGATATGCGTTCCAGATCATTTAAGTGCATTACTCTCTCTGTTGGATTCCGATGTAAAGGCATTACTTTTCTCTTTGTTTAACCTTTGATCTAATTCAACACCGTACGATAAAATTTATTTTGTAGATAAACACTAAATAGGAAAAATAATTGTAGAACTAATGTATTATCATTCTTATCTACATTTTAAATTTATTTGATAAAATTAAATAAATAATACTCAAAATATTATTGATAAATTTAAATATCAAAATAATTATGAGAAAATTATACAGGATAAAGTAAAGTTGAATTTCAAGAATAATCTAAAATTATATTCATTGTATTATATTAAACTGACAATTTACTAAAAATTCAAATAAAAATTTAATAATAGTAAGTAATGGATAATACAATTAGATAAGCAAGGAACTGGGTGATTTCCGTTGGGTGATTTTCGACTCAGGAGCGAAGTCTGGATTGTGATTTGGAGGTCCGTAGTTGAATTAGGCTTGAAATGGCGAAAGTTGAATTAGGCTTGAAATGGCGAAAGTTGAATTTTTGAAAAGTTTGAGAGGGAGTGGTCTTTTTGATTTCGGATGGTTTTCGGGCCAAGGTTTGAAGTTGAAGACTACTAAAGTTTGGGTTCTACTGGTGTAACCACACCTGCGGAGCTTTGATTGCAGGTTCGAGCTCGCAGTCGCGGGGAGGGCAACGCAGATGCAGAGTTTTGGAGAGGTGTGAGCAGTGGTCGCAGGTACGAAGGTTTTGCCACACCTGCATGACCGTTGATGCGGTTGGGGCACCGCAGAAGCGAGAATGGGCAAGGGAGCTGAGTCCGCAGAAGCGGACTGGACGCCCGTAGAAGCATATCCGCAGGAGCGTGTTGAGGGACTACAGAAGAGGATGGAGCCGCAGATGCGGTTGAAATGTCACTTTTGCGACGCCGCAAAAGCGGCAAAGTTGTCGCAAGCCTGGGCAGAACATATAAAAAAGAGGGTTCAGAGATTTTCACCATTTATAACATTTTGAGCTCGGGTTTAGGCGATTTTTGAGAGGGTTTTTGAAAAGAGTCTTGAGGTAAGTTCCTTGTGCTCGTTTTTTATCATTAATCTTGTTTTTCCATTTATATTTCCACCTAGATTGTGTGGTTTTGAGGTGAAATTTGGGGAATTGAGGCTAGGGATTTGGAGAGTTGATTTGGGGGTTTTGGGTGACGATTTGGTGTCGTATTTTGATAAAATTTGTATGATTGGACTCGTGGTTGAATGGGTTTTCGGGTTTTGTGACTTTTGTCAGATTTTGAGACATGGGCCGGGGGGCCAACTTTGAGCCGATTTCGAATTTTTGATTAATAATTTCGTATTTTCTTGCGGAATTGTTCATTTAGCCCGTATTGATTATATTGTAATGTTAGTAGCTAGATTTGGGACATTTGGAGGCCGATTTGCGAGGCAAAGGTGTATTAGAATAGAGTTGTGCTCGGATAGAGGTAAGTAACACTTCTAAACTTGGCTTTGAGGATTCGAAACCCCGAATAACGTGTTATATGATGGATGTTGAGGTGGCGCACATGCCAAGTGACGGGCTTGCGGGCGTGCACCATGAGAATTGTGACTTGGTCGATTCCATGGCACTGTATAGTGGATCTATCTTGTTGATATTCGTATTTTCATCATGTGATAAAGTAATTGAGCTTTCAATCATGCTAAAGATCATGTTTAGGCTATATGTTGGTACTGTTGGGACCCATAGAGGTTGTTTCTTGTCGTTGACTTACTGATTTCATTGATATTTCTTACTTAGTCATATTCATTCATTTTATATCATATCTCAGTCTCTGTTGCTATTTATTGATACATCATATCATCATTGTCGAGCTAGTTTCATGACATTGTGAGCCCGTGAGAGAGAGACTGGAGAGATTGATGACTGAGTGAAGCCGAGGGCCTGATTATGATTGATATTTATGGGACCTAGCTGCACACTGTAGTGGGTTTACTGATTTGTGATAGTGCTTGGGCTGAAGGAGCCTCTCCAGAGTCTGCATATCCCCTCCCTCCTAGTGAGCGCAGTTGATTTATATTGAGGGATGGATCTTCCCTAGACATTGATCTTGTCCGAAGCATTTATACCTGGGGATGGATCTTTCCCACGGGCTGGTTTAGCCCTACCCAGTACTGAGTGACTGATGGTCAGTTGATGTATATATTCTAGGATGGATCTTTCCTAGGCCGGGTTGGCCATATATAGTACTGAGTGATTGAGCATTTTGAGAGAGTCAGCACATGGGTTTATCAGTATGGTGCATCACATACAACATATGCATTGGCATATAGAAGTAGAGAAGTTGTATTCTTCATATCATTTAGAATTGATTCATCTTACTGAAATTGAATTTAACTGTTGAACTTGAAAGCATTTCTACGTTTTTGTGTTGTCGTTCCTATATTGAACTGTATCGGTTGAGTTCGTCACTACCTTCAGTCCAAAGGTTGGATTTGTTACTTATTGAGTTAGTTGTACTCACGCTACACCCTGCACCTCGTATGCAGATCCATGTGCTTCCAGTTACGGCGGCTGCTGAGTGTAGAGTCAGGATCTTTGGAGACTATCAAGGTAGCCGCATAGCGTCCGCAAACCTTGACTCTCCTTAGGAAACTTCACATTCTTGAATTCTAGTCATGTGAATCTGTTGATTCCGATAACTAAACTTCTGTTATTCTATTCTCTCACAGATGGTGTGGACACATGCTACCGGATAGGATGGACAACCACAAGTACCACCAGTTAGGGTCGCGAGAGGCCGAGGTCGCGGTAGGGGCCACGGTAGGGGCAGAAGTGTAGCTCGTACACCTGCAGACCTACCATCGCTCTAGCTTAGGAGCAAGTGCCTGAGATGGTTGAGCCAGTGGGGTCAGCTCAGGCACCAGTTGTGCCCATTGCGATTCAATGCCTTCAGGAGGCCTTGGCTCAGATTCTGACCGTGTGCACTAGTCTTGCTCAGACGGTCTTTGTTCCAGCCGCAACAACCACTTCTTAGGCCAGAGGAAGTGCTCAGACTCCCATAGCCCATATACCAGAGTAGGTGATACAGGAACTTCAGACACCGGGGGTACTACCAGCCCAGCCGGTTGCACTGCTCAGGCCCTTGTGGTTCCTACTATGGCTGATGATGCACAGAGGAGACTAGAGAGGTTTGGGAGGCTCCTGCCTTAAACTTTCAGTGGGGTATAGTCATAGGATGCCCATGGTTTCTTGGTCAAGTATCAGCGAACTCTTCGTACAACAGGCATTCTAGAGACCAGTAGGGTCTTGTTCACTACTTTTCAGTTTTTCGGGGCTACTTTTAATTGGTGGGAGTCTTATGAGAGGCGCAGGCCGGTCGGTGCAGCACCACTTGCTTGGTAGGAGTTCACCGTTCTCTTCTTGGAGAAGTTCGTGCCGCAGTCCTGTAGAGAGGAGCTGCATAGACAGTTTGAGTAGCTTCGTCAGGATGGCATGTCTATGAGGCAGTACAAGATAAGGTTTTCTGAGTTGGCTCGTCACGCAGTTTGGTTGGTTCCCACTGATAGGGAGAGGATTAGAAGGTTCATTGATGGCCTCACATATAAACTATGGTTGCTTATGACTCGAGAGAGGGTATCTGGTGCTACTTTTGATGAGGTTGTTGATATTTCTCGGCAGATAGAGATGGTACGTAGCCAAGAACATGGTAAGAGCGGGCCAAGAGGCCTCGTGGATTGGGTGGTTTCAGCGGTATTCCTTCTTGGGGTCAGTTCTACCACGACAGGGGACGTCCTTATAGGCACGCCCAGACGACTCGTCCAGTTCATCGTGGAGCATCATCTGGCCATGGTCCATACAGTGCACATCAGGGTCACTCATCTCTCAGTGTCCTTCCGGCTCATACTTTGTCTCATGCACCATCAGCTCAGGGTTCATCTTTACAGGGTCCTTCTAATAGTTACTTTGGTTCTCGGGGTTCGTCTCAATATTCATCGCCATTCACAGGGAGAGGTTGTTTTTAATGTGGAGATATGTGTCACATCAAGAGGCATTGCCCTCGCCTTTCAAAAGGTACAACTCCGCAGAGGAGTCAGCCTATGACTTAAGCACCGGTTACTTCACCATCCGCCCAACCATCTCAGGGTGGAGCTCAGTCAGCTATGGGTCGTCCTAGAGGGGAGGCCGATCAGGTGGCGGTCATGCCCGATTCTATGCTCTTCCTGCCATACCAGATGCCATTGCTTTAGACACAGTGATCACATGTATTGTCTTAGTATTCCACAAGGATGCCTCTGTATTATTTGACCCTGATTCTACTTATTCATATGTATCATCGTATTTTTTCTCATTATCTAGATATGCCTCGTGAGTACTTAGTTTTATATGTTCATGTATCTACATCTGTAGGCGATACTATTATTGTGGACCGTGTATACCTGTCGTGTGTGGTGACTATTGGGGGATTGAAAACCAGAGTTGATCTCTTGCTGCTTAGTATGGTCGATTTTGACGTGATCTTGGGTATGGATTGGTTGTCTCCATGTCATGCTATTTTGGATTGTCACGCTAAGACCGTGACGTTGGCGATGTCGAGGTTGCAAAGGATTGAGTGGAGAGGTTCTCTAGACTATGTTCCCAGCATAGTGATTTCATATTTGAAGGTCAGGAAATGATCGGGAAGGGTTGTTTATCTTATTTGGCATTTGTGAGGGATGTTGGTGCTAATACTCCTACTAGTGATTCTATTTCGGTGGTGCAAGAGTTTTTGGATGTGTTTCCTAAACACCTGTCAGGCATGCTGCCCGACATGGATATTGACTTGGTACCGAACACTCAACCCATTTCTATTCCACTGTATCGTATGGCACCAACTGAGTTGAAGAAATTGAAT